GAATCATAAGAAAGGCCTTCTCTATATCAGCCACAATAGCAATAGGCCACATCCTAAATCTCAAAAGAATATCAAAAACCTTTTGATGCAATGAAGGTCCTATATGGAGGCAATTATTCAATGATGGACCGTTAGTCTTAGCAGAGGCATCGTATACAATTCTTAATTTTGTAGTAGACTTATCCTGTCTCAACACACAATGATGTGGTAAATAGTGTATACGAGCCACACTGCATTCTTCAGAGTTCTCAACAGGGACAGTAATTCCCAAGGCTAGTTGCTCTCTAATGATATCAATATATTTCTTCAATAACTCAGGAGAGCTCTTCAGGCGCTTAAACAAACCACTCAATCGACGTAAACAAAGCTGATAGTTATCAGCAAGAGAAATGCAAGAGTCTTTCCAAGGCAGGGACACAACATACTTACCATTAGCAAACTTCACATGATCACCAAATTGAGTTTGCACTAAATTCTCATCTTCCAAAATTCCTAAAGATTCTAGCTCCCAAAATGAACGTAATCTATGTTCTAGGCTCATGTCTTCATGGACACCATCAACCCTTAAAACATGGGTGACCATAGTAGCACTCCGTGCACTAGACTGTTTCATAGCAGCAGTACCAGATAAAATCCAGCCAAAGCATGAGTTTAGAGCAACAGGTCTATTGTTACTCTTCATTATCTCACCTGTAAGTAGAGACCAATACTGGTCAGATCCAATTAAGATGTCTGGCTTTATCTGCTGGCAATGATCTAATGAAATAGAAAAGTCCAAATTATTCAGATGAGGATACTTATTCAAATCTATGGCTTCATATGTCAATGGCTCACAAATGTGGGTAACTGTGAGCAGCTTAAGCTCCATATGAGCATTATTTTTAAGCTCAAGACCCAGTTTTACAACATGGCATTCAGTACGACACTCCTTTCTAGACCCAAAGGTCATTATAGAAACTGATTTAGTGCCCAGAGATGGCAATCCCAACCTCTGGCATGCACTTCGAGTAATATATGAGCACTGGCTCCCTCTGTCCAATAGGACATATAAAGACATTCTATTACCAGGCTCATTTTGATTGAAGGCAAAGACGTGTGCCACTTGCAAGAGAGTAGACTCTCTAGAACTAGTATAGAATGTGGCACCCGTATTTGATCCTTCAAATGGAGGGGTCTCTGGATTAAGCCCCTTAGACAAATGTGGGGAAGCACCATCTCTAGCAGTAGGAGGCCTCTGGCCTGATTTAGGCTTTGAGTTCCTCATACATACACTAGAGTGATGTCTCCCTTTACAAGTAGCACAGCTCATTGAAGAGCGACAGTGCTTACAAATGTGACCTGGGCGGAGGCAAACAAAGCATCTGCCCTGCTCTCTAATCATTCGCTTTCTCTCATCAACTCCAGTGAC